ATCTTGGAAGAAACACAGTCCTTTACTGTATCCCAAAGAAGAAGAGGAAAAACATGGCCATGCAAGCAAATCTGAGACTGAAGTGTTACTACCAAAGGTAACAATTCATCCTGTCTGTATCCTTTATTGCAGAGTGTTGGAAGCACAAAGTTCTAAAGCCATGCATACAGATGTCACAGAATCTGTCACACAATGCCTGGGTACCCAAAGAAACTTGTCAACTTTGGTCCTCTTTTGCCCGAAGCACCATTCCTTCACAAGCACAGCATCCCCCAACAACTGCTTCAGTCTAGGCCACTCAGTTTTCCCAGACCTATCAAACATTCTTCCTTGGAGCTCTAATTAACACCAGAGCATGTTCAGATTGCAACAACCATGAATAGATGGGGATGTGGTATACTGGTTTCCACAAACAAATTTCTGCTAAGTTGTAAACTGAGAAACAGTGCTTTCATTCTCCCTAGTCTGTGGAAGCTGGAAACTGTTGTGTTGCAAGTTATAAACATGTTGTAAAAGTGGACTAATATTCCCTTTCAGTAATGACATATAGCTGCAATCCATTATTTTTAAAATACATGCTATATTTTGATCAGATGGCTGTTACTTTTGAGAAATCTATGAGAGGGTGGTAATTCTTAGTTTCAAGATTTTTGCTTGATGTTCTGCTTTAAAAATCATTATCAGGGGCCAGAGAGATAGCACAGCAGGCAGGGTGCTTACTTTGCACATAGCCAAGATGGGTTTGATCCTTGGCATCCCATATGGTTCTGCCAGCACCACCAGAAGTGATCCCTGAATGCAGGGCCAGGAGTAAGTCCTGAGCACTTATTCCTTTTGGGTGTGGCCCAAAAACCAAATACCAAAAAATTAAAAAATTGAAATTAGATCACTACTAGTAGCAGCAAATAGAAACAATAATTATCTCCTCCAGAAAAATCACTGGAAAGCATGGAAATAAAACTTAGTCTATTCATGTTATTTTAGGTTTGGAATATCTATTGAGTTATTAAGCAGGCATTTAGCAATGGGTGATTTTCAGGGATTAAAAAATCATTTAATTTCTAAGAGGAGAAAAGTGGTAGCTCTGGAATCAATTTTCCCAAATATACTTAGAAAAGTTTAATAGTAAAAGGGATTTAAATTGCACAAGGTGCTAAAGTAATCAAGCATGCCTACGTATATGTGTAATCTTTAAGGATTTGAACCTGAAGATTATATATTCCAAGTTGACTATGTGAGCTGCTGATGAGAAAGATAAGGGTAGACCTGTTGGGTTTTACTTTACAAAGAAAAGTGATTTCCCTGAAGCCACACACTCACAATCAGCAAAGGCTGAACTAGGACTCAGTTTGCCCCTCAGGTTCCCAGTGCAGTAGACAAAGGTCTTAAGTGAAAACACCAACTCTGCAACAGTAGTGATGACTGATGCCTAGGAAAGGCTGATTTTATACCAGGAAGTCTCCTATGTGTTGTAGATATATTAACTCATTTATCCTCCTAGTAACCAAGTAAAGGAAGTGATTATATCTCCCCCTTGACAGGAGATAGTCAGAAAATCACCATAGGTCTGAGGGTTTCCTAAGCAGTAGAAATGGGAACATCTGATCTTTCTGCACAGAGATGCTCAATCAGGCATTCCTAAATCAACATCAGATTATCAGGAGTATTCTGGTGTTACAGATCATGGGGTGGGTCTGGCCATGATCACCCCTCAAGTGGAAACTGGGAAGCACACAACACAGGCCAATACTGTCCCAAACAAGGTTATTATTTTTCATGCTTGAGCATAATGGGAGAAGCCATGTGCCTCAGACTTGAGAAACTGCTTACTCTCATTTGCAGGGGTTCCACTTTAAGTTTCTCTCCCATCATGGAGAGAGTTGGGCTCATCATGGCTCACAGAGTTAGGGGCATCTCTGACATATGCCAGGTGTGGATTCATGCACTGATATGGGCCACACACTCATCAGTAGGTGCAGTCTCCACTCAGGTGTGATTTTAGTATTAAAATGAGAAAAAGGTAAGTGAAGGGTCAGACATGGGGTTCATATTGGCACAGGATGGTTTAGGACAGTTTTGTTCATCCAGTTTGTCTTTCTAACATTACCCTCCCTCTCTATTCTTCTGAGGTAAGTACTCCAAGGAACAGTTGGAGTGACAAGCACAGAATACTGAACCTTGTGGTTAAAATAGGGTAGAGTTGGAACAGTTTCTTTATTCTGAAGAATATTTTGCTCCAAGGTTCAACCTTTAATAGGAGACTTGGGATCAAGGGTCATCAACTGGCTACACTGAGAATATTGATTTTAATAAAGTATCTTCTAAAGTGAGAACCAAACTATTGATACCTCTAGAACACAGGATGAAACAAAAATTTCCTGTTCATCAGTCACTGCATTCTTGGTCAAGTACTCATAATCCCTAATGAGACAAATTCTGTTTCAATATTTCTTTCATTATAAGGAGGTTGGCAGGCAGGACATGGTTCAAACTGGGTGGTGATCCCAGCAAATTAAACATAACCACCATCTTCAGGGTGACATTTTAAAAGGCACCATCCTCTTCTCAATATCAAAATTAAGATTCTGAATAAGATCAACCCAGTTTAGACTCTGCCTAAAGTATGTATAACCACCATCCCAAAACAGATTCTATCCCTTCACATTTCAGATTTAAACTATTCTCATTTTATTTTTGTTAAATTTTATTTCTTGAGATGTTGAAAAAAATCTGCTTCAGGTCCCCAAATCCCTCCCTCATTCATCACAGTAGTAATATGATCAAGCCAAATCCTATCCTGAATAGAATCACAGCAGGGCAGGTAATGGCAGAAGCTAGTTTGCCTTCATCATTCCAGCCACTCTCATTGGTGGGAATCTCAAAAGTCTTGCAAATTCAGGAACAGACTTAAACATTCTAGCAACTCAGTCTTCAAAACTCATCTTAAGTTATTTCAAAGAAGGTCCTAATATCACACTGAATTTCTATGTGAGGGACTTTTCCCTAAATTACTGCCTAGCCATTAAAAAGTAGACTCTCTCTTCTGCCCTCTCATTTCTCCTAGAAATGCAAAGATTGACATCAAATCTTTTCAGATTCCAGTTTGGTAGGAATACTTTCTGCTGCTTATTCTCTTGCCCTTTGCCACATCTCATAAAGAAGTAGATAGGTGCTAATAAAATTGCATATAACCTCTGCTGAGTCTAACCACCAATGACCTCTGGGCCTCGGCCAGACTGTCCCCTACAGTCAGGCTCAAAATTAGGAAGCTACCACTGAATTCTCTGTTTGATTCTTAGGTAGTTGCTTCACCTTTCTCTACCTGAGTTTTCTCATCTGCCAGTGGGAGATACAATGGTGTCCATCTTATTAAAGTATTTTGAAGAAAATGTGATAATAGATGAAAGAACAAAGAAGACTAGAACAAGCATAAAGTTTACAATCCCTACCAGGTTTATTTTAAACAGAAATATACTTCCTATACTCACTCATCAGTATGGCTAGATACCAACTAGTCAAACTAGGAGGGGGGGAAAAAAGGACAAAATATTTCTACTGTCTGTTGTATAGATGACACAGCAACTATGGAATGGTGTGACAATCTGAACTCACTCTTCAACCCTGTCTGCCCCTCCTAAAACAGGACTGGAATTAAGTGAGTCAAGGTTAGTTCCAGAGTTCACAATAAACAATAAGGTAAGGTAAAGGCCCTCCTGTTGTTCGTCGATTTGCTCGAGCAGGCCCAGTAACATCTCCATCGGGAGACTTCGTTGTTACTGTGTTTGGCATATCGAATACGTCACGGGGAGCTTGCCAGGCTCTGCCGCGCGGGCGAGATACTCTCGGTCGCTTGCCGGGCTCTCCGAGAGGGGCGGAGGAATCGAACTCGGGTCGGCCATGTTGGCTGCGTGCAAGGCAAACGCCCTACCGCTGTGCTATTGCTCCAGCCCACAAACATATAATTACATGCCCAAAACTCCTCTAATCTCATCTAATTCCCCTTTGAAAGATTTAAAAAAATAATCCTAGTCTGGACACTAGGTGACTTGCTCAACTTTATCGAAACACTTAGTGCTAGAGCCAAGTCACGCTAAAGAATGAAGATCATTTTTACAAGCAAACTACAGGGATACTTCAAAATTTACCGTAAATCACTTAGTTTAATTCTCACAGCAATTCTCCGAAGTAGGTGTCAGTTTTACCATCTTAGAGACACAAAGATAAAGGCTCAGGCCCCGCAAAGCAATTTCTCCAAAACAAGAAAACTGAGCACCTACTGAGCACCAAGAGCAGGGGTTTCTTTTCTGGCCTAGGCCTACTCCAAGTCTCTGAAAATTCTACTTCTGAGTTCCCAGCAGTAACTCCCTGCCTACAAAGCAGACTTTTGCCTGGGAGGCTTAGAAAAATACAGACAAAACCCAATAATATGCAAGGTCCTCATTTCCATCCCAGGAGCCCTACAATGACCCAGGGCCCCTTACTTCACCTCTTCTGGGGGATGATTTCTCTGTGAAAAACAAACAGAAACTCCAGATTGTTGAGCTCTAATTCAGGAACCAAAATCATATGTCACTGGACCTAGAGGCGAAGGACTTTCAACTCCCATTTCTTCAGAGCTGGTCAGATGATGTGCTTATTTAGCAAAACATCGCAAGACCTAAGCAAAGTATTTTATGAATGCTTCCAGTGTAAAACGAGAGGGAAGAGAGTTACCTAAGGCTGATGGAAAGTTCAGAGTAGCTGAATCTGCCTGAAGGGCACGGATGAGCTGCTCTAAAATCCTTCTGTGTTGCATGGACCATGAGTGGCTTAAATGTAAAACTATCTACCAAATCAGAAAATAAAGCAAGGGGCAGAACCAGAATCTGTATTTTGTTGGTTATAGCAATGAGTTTTTTTCTGTCCTACTTATTTGTATCGAAGAACAACTACTTTATATTATGATTTTTCTAATGCTAAGTCAAATAACAATAATGAGAGGAACCTGTTTGAGCACTTACCAAGGTGCACCATATATCCTGAATCCCTTCACCGTTACTTCCGAGTCTTGCAAGTAAATACTGTTTGTCAGAAGAGACTGAACGTTGTCAAAGTCCTCTGGTTTCAATTTGGACACAGAGGGGAAACGGTAGTAGTCCTGTTTGACAAGGTCTGCCATGAATTCCTTATCAAATGTCAGTTCATGATTCCCAGCAATCACTATTTTGTATTCATATGGCAGGTTTCCTGAAAGAAGAAAAAAAGCGCCAATTAGCACGTTCATTTCCCATCATAAAGGATGACAGTTGAGACTATCATGTGCAGACAGTTTACCCAAATGAAATAGCTCGCACGTCCCTTTACATTTCCATGGGAACCAAAATTTATGACTACTCCTTTATGCTAAAAAAATAACAATAAACAGGAGCTAGGAGGCAGCTACAAAGCTACAAAGAAAACAATAAGTTTGCTCATTTTCAGTTCCTTCTTCTTTATGCTATATATTCAGTCGGTGACTCTGCACTGTGATGAACCAATACTTCATAATTATCCAACAAAAAGCACTTTAATCAAAATCCTTAAAGTCTGGACTCAACTTGGTAAAATAAAAAAAATAAGCCAATCAACTATTTTTAACAACTCAGATAACTTGGATTTTTCAGTCTATCCATCATATAAAAACATGGCACAGCTAACAAAAGTCACAATTTATAGTAATAAAAGGAACTATATAGTCCAATTTTATATTACAAGATACATTTTACCTTCTGGCTTGTGAATAAAGGAACATTATTAATGGTTCTCTGATTAGAAGGCTAACTTTCCTCCCATTGGGATGGAGAAGCAACTGTAAAGCTTAACCCCCTTTTAATATTTATGGTATGGAAATGTGAGTTCTCCATGTGCGCTTCTTATGCAAAAGTTTCCCGATCAAAATGAGATAATTCTGGGAAGAAGAATGAAAGCTATAAAGGAAAACCCAAACACTAGAATTCTGCATAGATTTATAATGTTTGAATAAAGTACAGATCATACATATTAATAACTCACCGTAATGTTATAAGAACCAAAATCCAAAGGGAGATAGTGCTGGGCAGCTGTCCCCATTCTGAAATTAAAACCCTTTCTCTTCTTTGTTATTACCTATCCCTCAAGCCTCACCACTGGGCTGCTACTCATTTTACTTACTTTATTTCATTTTATTTTTGAAGGGAAAAGGATGTGTGTGTATGTGGGGGGAGAACAGTAGTGCTTATAATTCCATCTTCCTGAGACTCCTGGGTCCAATGTGAAATTATTTCCTGCTATTCCAGGAAGAATGAAAGTTACCCCCGTAGGAAATTGGATACACTTGTTTTAAGAAGTGGCCCTTACCAATAAGTCAAAGTCAATGATTTAATTACTGAAGATTACTGAAACACAAGATTTGGGGTAGGAGGGATGGGTAGATTGTCATAGATCCCACGTGGATTTCAGCAATGCAGGAATTACATTGTGAGGTCCATAATCTCAGCAGTACTATGAACAGAACTGCTGACAATAACACAGTTTTAAAGAATATGTTCTGTAATGTTTTTTTTAGGTTTCTAGCAGGAAAATAGTAGCACATATAGTTGTTATATTAATAGGGAGACTTAAGAGACAGAGAAAGGCAGTCAGAAAATGACAATGCACAAAGCCTGAAGCTGCAAACATTGTGATCAAATCTCAGTGAGTATCTTTGACAACCCACAATACAGTAGGACATGCACTTGGTCTTAGTTAACTTGCCAAATAATGGTAAAGACTTTGCAGAAAACAGTTTTATGTGATTTGAGTTCATGACCTAGACTTAGCAGAAATTAAGATGACAAACAACTTGTCAAAATTAGAGAATAATGTTGGTGTTTTTACATAATTTCCTTCACGCAGGTTGCAGATAAAAGAAGTATTAAAAGGGTCACAGATTTGGGAATTTGAGAAATGACTGACAATTAATATGGTTTGATGCTCTTATGCTGCACCTCAAGATCTGTCTGTGTTCCCAAGGCCAGAACGGGATGAAATGTTTTCCCCGGTGGAAATATGCTGTTGGAAGGCAGGTCTTACCGGACTGAATCTTTGAAAGCCCTGTACAAGTCATGCTGTAGGCACTGGGTCTCCGTTAATCATTCATGATGATGGACTCACTGCAATCCCTTTATGTACTGCCACTCCCAACGGAGGGCTTAGCTTTTCCATTTTATCTATTTCAGAGCTTTTGTTCAGGGACACATAGGGGAGAATTGGAAACACAGGAGAGGAAATACGTTTAGACAAGTTTCTTTAAAAAGCAAAGTGAACTTGCTGCAAATTGTATCCTCCTTGGAATGACATGCATCTTTGGTGTCTATTAAATCAAATTTTGGAAACTCATCTTAAAGGCATAACTTCCAATGTCAATCACGGTCACAGTCTTCCCATTGTTCATTGATTTGCTCAAGCGGGCCCAGTAACATCTCCATCATGAGACTTGTTGTTACTGTGTTTGGCATATCGAATACGTCACGGGTAGCTTGCCAGGCTCTGCCGTGCAGGCGAGGTACTCTCGGTAGCTTGCCGGGCTCTCTGAGAGGGGTGGCGGAATCGAATTCGGGTCAGCCATGTTGGCTGTGTGCAAGGCAAACGCCCTATCACTGTGCTATCGCTCCAGCCTCAACTTTCAACGTAACCACCAAAATGAATAGCCACTGAAGCAGTGAAGATATTTACACGTTGCCAACCAACTCATTTTTACCTGATATTTTACTAGCAGTTCTCAGCTTTCTTCCACATCTACCTGTGCTACAAAACTGTCTACATACATTTTTGCTAACTGATCTCTCATTAATAATCTGCCAACTTTTATGTTATATACAAAAACGATTAGCAGGGCAGCTGAGAAATCTATTACTTGATAAGCATTTTTCTCCCTTTTCAGACTAAATTATTTTGGAAGACTGCAGTAAAGCTCCAATCTTCTTAGTATTCAAATAACATCATTTAAAATTTGTCAGACAAAGTGGTGTCTGCCTTTATTCATTTTATTCATATCAAGCCACAGAAGTTGACCTGCTTAAACAAAACACCAAGGCCACATATAGTTATTCTAATATAATTCTTGCTTTACATGACCTAAAAACTCTTAACTAACCAGTTCCATCTTTCCCAAGACATGTGACATTCTCTATGTATAATACACAGATGATTCAAGGTGAAATGGAGATGGATTTTTTTTTACAAAATATCAAATTGTTTTGTATGTTTTCAAAATACATATTTGGAAAACAATCTAATGTTTCCTTTTTGTTATATATCAATTCAATTTTTCCAGTTTTTATTGATATATTCACTTTCCTGGGCTGGAGCAATAGCACAGGGGTAGGGCATTTGCCTTGCACTCAGCTGGCCCGGCCAACCCAGTTCGATTCCTCCACACCTCTCGGAGAGCCCGGCAAGCTATTGAGAGTATCTTGCCTGCATGGCAAAGCCTGGCAAGCTACCCGTGATGTATTCGATATGCGAAACACAGTATCAACAAGTCTCACAACGGAGATGTTACTGGGCCCTCTCGAGCAAATCGATGAACAATGGGAGGACAATGCTATTCACTTTCCTACTGTTACATGTAAAATGAGAGATGGTTTAAAGAAAATGATTGAGGGGTACAGAGAGCAGGGCATTTGTTTTGTACACATCCAACTAGGTCAATCCTTGGCAGCCCACACATTTCAGCATCACCAGGTGCAACGCTGTGTGCCCCTGAGCAGCTCTGAGCATGCTCCTGGAGGTCCAGAGTAACCTAGGCAACTGGGTTGGACATATAATCCCTGGCACTGCAGGCCCGGAGGAGCACTGCATCCTCAGATCTGCCATGCTGGCCAAGTATTGCCAGAGGCTCGCCCACCTGTTGAGCATGACTTGGGAGCCCGCTGCCCCTCCTAAACGAGGACAAAGATAGTCCTGTGTCCACTGTTTACAGCTTAAACTATTCTGCACCCTTCCCCTCACCTCATCCTTGAAACAACTGTCAGACATCAGAACTTTTCAAGGGTTTTCTCTTGCTCCTACACTCTTCATTTGGCATCCAGTTTTTCCTTGATCTTCCTCTACTTTTTTCACACCTCTGCTTTTTTGTCATATGGCTCCAATACTGACCTCTTATTCATCCTCCCATTCCCCCTAGCACTGTCCTCTCCAGACATCTTTTTCAAGGCTGTGGTCCTCTCTCTCCCTACTGAACCTTCTCCTGGGTAAGTTTATGTCTATCCACTTCAAGGAATAAAAAGCAGAAAGAAACACACAAACACACACCACACAACCCTAAACCATTTCCAACTCTTTGAGATGCTTCTCTATTTCACTTTGAAACTTCTGAAAAGGATTCCAGAAGTTCAAAGTTGGTGAGCCAAATCTTACAGTTTTCAAGTGTCTTTTTTTTTTAACAAAAGAAATTATTCAGGGGCTGGAGCAATAGCACAATGGATAGGGAGTTTGCCTTGCACTCAGCTGACCCGGGTTTGATTCCTAGCATCCCATATGGTCCCCCGAGCACCACCAGGAGTAATTATTGCATGTATCGCTGGGTGTGACCACCTCCCAAAAAGAGCAAAAAATAAAATAAAATAAATTATTCAAACACCAAGAGAAATTGTATCAAACTTTCTGAATGACCAACTTCTTGTGGGAAACCCAGAGAGCAGGCAATGCAGACCTCCAGACACCAGACTTGTCCACTTCCTTTAGTCTCTCACACCTGACTCAATGACCTCATCTGCATTGTGTGTATGGTCAACTCTATTATTAGAATTAGCAAGTAAGAGGCCATTTTTCCTCAAAATTGATCCAACAACACATCTGGTTTCTGTATTTTTTTACCCATGAAAAGGTTTTCCTGTAATGCTAATAAGATTCTAGTGTCAATAGCCAACTCTAAACTCATCACCTCAGTTCTCAACATTACTGGTCACAGAGCAGTGAGAATTCAGCTTCTGAAAGTTTCTCCTCTTAAGTCCTGAAGCAGCTCCCACAAGCCTCTTCTTCTTCGTCATTTCCTGTCTTCTATTTCTGTTCTGAACCTTTTTTTGAATCCCTCTTATTCTCAGCTGACTCCTTCATACCTTCCTTCCCCTTCTCTTTTTCTATAGATATTATATAAATAATGACCTCTAGCAATGCTATTTAATGTTTTTTCACAATACCTCACATTTCTATTCTTCCTGATTTGATACTGAAGCTATTCTACTTTA